TGAATGATGAAGTTACAAATAATAGCATTGATAATAACGACAATGATAATTAAAAATTATAAGGATAAAACAACAAAAATAAAAAATAAAACGGAAAAAAGAGATATATAATAACAGAAATGATAAGTAAACACTGATAGAAATAATGGAACTAACAATAATGAAAGAAAATTATTGGTAAGAACAATAATGATGCTATCATGATGCGTGAAACTGATGATAAAAATTATAATATTGCTGCTGATTATAGCAACGATACTGATAACACTGACGATGATAATAATAACAGTAACAATGATAAGAAAATAATAAATGATGATGATAACAATAATAACAATAATGATAACAATAATGATAATGATAATCATCATCATTAGTATATTAAAAGTTATAATAACAACAATAATAATGATGATGATGATGATGATAATAATAATAATAATAATATTAATAATGATAATAATAATGACAATAATTCTTACCATTCTTATCCTAATAACAACAATAACAATAATAATAATAATAACAGTAATACTAGTAACAATAGTATTAGCAACAACAATAATGATAACAATGATAATAATGATAATAATAATAGTAAAAACAATAATGATAATACTGATAATAATAGTAATAATAATGATAATGATAATAATAATGATTATAATAACAACGATAATGATAATGATAACAGCACCAACAACAGCCCCTTATCCCTGTTGTGAAAAATCTTCACTTCGTGTCTTTCGGCAGGATAGATCCCGGGCAAATATCAGGAACTCGGCCCTTAAAACCTGCTCCTATTGTCACGTGATTAATTATTATAATTAATATTATTCAAACGGACTCGCCTCTCTGTCTATCGTCACCTCACTGTGAAGTAAATTTGCAATTGTCATGTTTCGTTCGCTTACGTCATCGGCTACAAGTGCGTTCGATTTTTTTTGTCGTTTGCTCAATTTCGCGAAGTGGCCAATCACACTCTTGAAATTTGTGAATTTTAAACCTCTCGTCTGCCCTTTTTATTAGTTTGCGAAGGAAATGATATCGAAGAAGAGTGTCTTAGAATGTTATGTCTGAGGGAATGGTAGTTTAGGCATGTTTTCCAATTATATTGAAGTCATTAGTGATGATAACGATATTAGTAGTATTGATCACAACCATGGCTAACTAGAGATTATTTTGATAACACTATTCTATACAAGATTGATAGATGTGTCAGAGAGAAAACAATAACCCAAATGTCGCTTATTCATTTCTTTGTTATTCTAAACTAATGTAAATCAATAGAAAAGAAATGACACTAAACCACACAAGTAGCCGATTGTTTTCATCACTTGTCAATGTGGCTGTTCCCTTAACCATGACCACTCCCTTTAACGATTTGTGATATATCTAACCCATACAAAGCATAGTTATCTGCCTGCTGTACTTCATTTGGTGTCTAATTGTTCTTTTTAATTTATATTTGATGCGAAACAAGGAAATAAGGAAAAGATTTCATTCGAAAGTGATCATATTCTTGACTTCGATAGTGCGTTCTCCGTGTCTAACAATGGCAGATCCAGTTTTCAAAGAGGGAGGGGCGGGATGTTTGCTATTACAGAGGGGGGTGAGAGAATGGATCGCGGTGTGTGTGAGCCCGAGAACTGTTCTTTCTCATAAGAAGTGTTATTTTAGATAGAACTAAGCATAACATATTGCCCTTTTAGTCTAGAAAGTGTCTTTTTTTTCCAACTGTATGTATTCCTATCCGTTTGAAAGTCTATGCGTCACTGATGTATACGAATACATATCCAAAGAAAGTTTACAAGACATTATGTACATCTAATTTCAGGGGACGTTTTGTTACGAATTCTAGCATAGCGTATTTACATTCTTGCCTAAATTATTCAAATATTTTTGCATAACCCCTATTACTGTGTTGTACGAGAGCCATTTATCACGCTAAAAGGGAGGGCAGGACGTATTGTTTAACATTATTAAAATTCCTCTTAAAGTCGTTAGATTTTCAATTTCAAACACTTTACATTGTTATGTAGAAGAACTGGTCTAATTTGCATACTGGGATCTCATCGTGTGAATTGTCGTCAGAAATGCCACATCAGTTTCCTTTTTTTTTCCCGTAGTATTAACCACACGACATTGATGATAATGAAAATACTGATAATAATAGCAAAAATAGTAATAATAATGAGTATAAATATGGTGCTGATAATGATGATAACGTTAATGTTAATAATAATGATGATCTTAAGAATAGTAATGATGGTAATAATGATATTGATGATGTGATGATACTAATAATAATACAATGATAATGATGGTAGTATGGCGATAATGAAGAAAATGATAATTATTAAAATCATGGTGATGAAAAATAAATATACTGATGCCAAAAAGCAAAAAGAATAATAGTGTCAGAAGAACAATAAAAAATACTAATGATAATATCCACAACAATAGTGAGGTTAATGATAGCAACAAAAATAAAGATGATGATGATGATGATGATGATGATGATGATGATGATGATGATGATGATGATGATGATGATGATAGCAGTAATAATAATACTAATACTAATAATGATAGTAATAATGAAGATAATAGTAGTAATAATGATGATAATAATAATAATATTAATAATGATAATAATAATGATAATAATAATAATAATAATAATAATAATAATAACAAAGATGAAAGTAAAAAGATAATAACAACACTAATGGTAGTAATTATGATAATAATGATGATGGTAATAATTATAACAATAATAAAAATAATAATAATAGTAGTAATAATGATAATAATAATAATGATAGTAATGGTAATAATAATGAGACAATAACAAAATAACACCAATGATAACAGTGATAATGATAATGACAGTAATGATGAAGATAATAATGATAATGATAATGGTTATAATAAAAAGATAACGGCAACAATAAAGATCATAAAAATAACAACAGTAACAAATATGACAAGCAACAACTAATAATAACCATGATAATTGTTATGACAGTGATGATAGTAACGGTAATAATATGAGAACAATATTGATGATAATGTTGATGATGATGATAATAACAATCCACACAAAATTATACTAAAATGAAGTATCAATTTAAACACAAATAGTGACATAATACTATCACACACACAAACACACACCACACAAACAGAAACACACACACACACACAAACATACCTCACACAAAGAGAAACACACACACACACATACACACACACACACACACACACACACACACACACACACACACACACACACACACACACACACACACACACACACACACACCTAAAACACACGCATACATCAAGAACAAACAGACCCCTTCAAAGTGACAGCAGTCATTGAAACTATGAAGGGAAAAAGCGACGAACGCTTACACCTAAGCTATCACATTGGCACTCTCATGATGTCTGTAGTTATGTCAACAACCCGAAAGAGTGTAAGAGATTGACATATGTTAAAAGACTTGTAAAGAAAACATTTGTCTTGAATGACATAACTAATGGCAACTTAAATATCGCTGTTCATTTTTTTGTTTTTATTTATGGGTGAAATCATAACCTAAGGATATATGAATGGGTAGAAAAAATGACAGGGTTTGACACTTGCTAATGGTGTGAAATGCGTACCTAGGAGGGGGTGGGTGGGTGAGGGGTACGCGGAGGGGGAGGAAGAGCAGTGGAGGAGGAGACAGATAGAGAGGGAAAGACATGAACAGACAGAAAGCGATAGAGAAACACACGGACTGACAGATAGAAAGGTAGAGATGGAGAAAGAGATAGAGAAAGAGAGAGAGAGAGAGAGAGAGAGAGAGAGAGAGAGAGAGAGAGAGAGAGAGAGAAGAGAGAGAAAGAGAGAGAGAGAGAGAGAGAGAGAGAGAGAGAGAGAGAGAGAGAGAGAGAGAAAGAGAGAGAGAGAGAGAGAGAGAGAGAGAGAGAGAGAGAGAGAGAGAGAGAGAGAGAGAGAGAGAGAGAGAGAGAGAGAGATAAAGAGAAAGAGAAAGAGAAAGAGAAAAACAGACAGGGAGACCGAGAGCGAGCCACGAATTCGGAAAGTCAAAGAGAGAAAGGGAGTAAGAGACAGATAAAAAGTGAGTGCGGGGAAGCGTTCGCACACGTCCAAACATATGACGTAATCAACAGGTGGTAAGAAGGCGGGGGAGAGGCTGGTGGGCGGAGGAGACGGGGAAGATAAGTGGCAGCTGTGTTACTTGGCGACCTCTCTGTTACCTGGTGACCTGTATATTAGCTAGAGACCTGTAACTGGCAAGGAGATTTTGTGGAGTGATTGAGCACTGGCCAATTTGCCGTTTGGAATAGTTCTGTAGTTAGAGTGATAGCTAATAGAGACAAATGGTGGATCTGTATCACATCGTATAACAGGTCACATGATTTGAAACTCAAAAAATATACCCCATGCTGTCCATTAGTAATGGTAAGATAAGTGTGCATAAAGATAAGTAATATTTTAATTGTTTTACCAACAGGTTATGTTATATCAGATTCATCGCCACATCGACAATCGGTTATAAAGCAAAAATGAAAATTAAAAAATGCAACAAACAAGATAAATTTCACGTATAACACCGACCATCTTCTCCTCTGCTCTGACGCTCTATATTTATTAAAAGGCCCATTATGACCGATTTTGCATGTCAAGGCCACACTCTACCTGGGCATCTTCCAGGTGATCTTATGTAAAACGTCAACGCAAAGTCATGTCAGCGATAGAGAGTCTATATAGTTAGAAACAAAGAAAATGTACACTCTAGCAGACCCAGCTTCTCTGGCCATTAAAAGCATTGTAATGGGGCTATATTTCACGAACACCTGTTGGTAAGAAGCTAGTCTAAAAGTACCCAGGATTTCTGAAGTTGCGTTGGCCGCACCTTTATTTGGGCCTCCTGAAGGAAATGGAGTGGGTTAGACAAGGTCAAGGGTTTGCGCGCGAGACACACCTCTTCTGCGTGGTGTTGAAGAAGTAGCGGTAGACACAGCTCATGACCCCGTACACGATGCAGAAGACGAACAGCTCCCTGTACACCAGCTTGTACAGGGAGCCCTTCCACTTGAAGAGCAGGCGCGTGAACCCGCCCGAGGTGGAGGAGGCCACTTCATACTGGTAGGATACTGTCATGGCTCTCGTGCAGGATGGCGGCGGCGGGGAGGCCTGCGGTCCTCCTCGCTAAGGGCGCCGCACCGCTCCTGCGTCAGGAGACTTCGAGTACGAGCCTCAGTTGGCTGCGACTCTTGGCTCTCTCCGGTCACTCTGCTCGCTCTGTTACCCGCACGAGGTGACGGCGACCTGCTCCACGCCTCCACGGCGGCGGCGGCTCCCCTCGTCAGCACGACCACACTTTACACGTGTAACACCCGTCATTCTAGAACACTCTACAGCTGTTCGAGCACACAGGCGGGCGACTTCACCATCACAGGAGGCAGCGCCACCATTTCCCACTTTTTTCCCCTTTTCTTGCGGTTTAGAACTTTATTAATTCAGACTTGAGACACGGCCACTCGCTGTGTGCTTGCGTCCGGACGGATCGCCGGAAATCGGTCGCGGAGAGTCGTGGGTCGAGAACACTGGCCAGCCCGCTGGTGACTGCCGCGGGCCGCTCCGGTGGCCAACACCCCCGCTGGCCCGGGAAGGAGGGGGGGACGTGACCCCGGAGAGCCCCAGGGCGGCTGAGGAGGGGCGCAAGGCTCGAGCCACACCTGCTCGGTCGAGCTCTGTCCTGCAGTTATTAATCTCTTGCTCTCTCACGCACATGCACGCGCAGTGCGAACTTTGCGTGTTCGTGTGCTTTAGGACGTGGGCAACGAGAACGCCCGCGCGGGAGCGGCGACGGGGAGCACGGTGGGTGGCTGAGGGCGGGGCAGTGACGTAGGCTGGCTGCGGCTGTGGAGGGAAGGGGGGCGGTGACCCCTGATGCCCTGCAGGTACAGCCTGGTGCCCCTGGCCTCGGCGTGACACACTGACGCCCGTCCTCACGCCCGCGGCGGACTCTGTGAGCGGCGGCGGCGGCGCGCGCGCTCGCTCTCTCTCTCCCCGCCCAGGCCTGGCCGCACAGGTATAATTTTAGCGT